AACCTACACTTCGTTGCCTCCTTATTTCATTGATTACACTTTCATTGTTGTTCGAAAAGGCTAGGAAAAACCCGTAAAAATCACCACTACCGCCTCTCCCGCTCGGAAGTTGCAGAAAGGGCGCCAAAACCATCCCCACCAACGATCTGTGGTAGAAGACGGTCGCTTGTTTTCCTGTTCGGTGTTTAAATTTGCGAGGTGTTCAGACTTGCGATCTGCTCGAAAATGTTTTGCAAGATTAAATTCCAGGACTAAAGAGAAACTCAGTTTGTGAAAACTGAGGATTTGATTGTGTTTGGGCGGAATAATACCTATCCGAAATTGGAGCCCCCAAACCCTAACGATTTTAAGCCTCGCACTGAGTACGGGCTGATTGATGGGAACGTAATTAAAAGATGCCTCGTTTTGGCAATAGCCGGTAAGTCATTAATCATTTATTAAGTTGCCCCAGTTGTACCTATCGATAGCGAAACGTGTTCTTCTTCGCCTCACTCACTAGATAGTCTTTTAGTCCTGTATGGTTCCCATCAACGAGCAATGCTCAACTCAGGCCAATTTGACGTCAATCTTTCGTCCAAAACGAAATTTTGATGCAAAATTGTTCGTGTTTTGACGAAATTTTTACCAATTAATTTCAATTTGATGCAATTTTGTTTGATGCATTTGCTTGCTGGGTTAAGTAAGCTCCCAAATTTTCATTCATTTTAATTCGACATTGCAGCTACCCTCGAGACTCTGCAACCTATTGAGATAAAGTCTAAGAAAGTTTCGTCAAAAAGGCCAGCAGTAGAGAGCCTAGCTGCATTCAGTTTTAACACCAAGGTAAAGAGGTAAAGTACATGAATGATTTGACTTTGATTGTGCATGCAAACCCTTGTTTGATTTTGTTATTTACCTCTTTTTTTATTTTTTAGAAATCCAAACAAGACCGAAGTGTAAGAGGGGCGGAGGCGACTGATGATCTGATATCTGGCAAGCTGAACAAAGCCAATGCAATAGCGATGCAGGTTGGATTGGAAGTGGCAGCTGAAGTTATTGGAGCTCAAGTATATGTGAGTGCTGGTCCATATATGAGCATCACTGAACAGTTTAGATTTAAGTTATTCAATTCATATTTTTGTTGATGTCTTTTGAAGGGTAATGTTGAAACTCCAGTGAATGTTAACGGTGATGACAATTCCAATGCTGACGACACGCAGAGTGACAATAACGATCCCAAAGCTGATGATACCCACAATGACAATAAAAATTCCAAAGCTGATGATACGCAGAATGACAATAACAATTCCAAAGCTGATGATACGCAGAATGACAAAGCAGCCGACCAAGTGAATATATTTTGTCATAATAATAGGTCTGATAATACAGAAGTT